TGTGGTCAGCGGACTAATCAATAAACAGATCTATCTAGAAGTGAAAGATGTAACTAACTGTCCATTCAGAATGCAATGATATTATGCTCTTAATTTCCCAAAAGACAGGTCACTCATAATTATTGCATAGTCTCTTTAAAACTTCAGTCCAATATATATTTTAGCAAGGTCAATTAATAAATACCAACATTTAATAAATTGTTCTTGTGTTCATTGTTTCTTCTAACTTCAATTTTACAGGTAAGTATTTCTAGTAAAATCATGGCCCATATATCTACCCAGTCTTTCCAATTTCACCAGCATGTAAGCATATATAGTCATCAGTGAGTTTTCAATAGAGTGTGGTATGGATAGAAAGTGGTCTGAGAACTGAGTCCACGTTTGTCCATTTGAACCATAAGTTCTATATATGCATATTCTGGGTAGTAGATAGAAGAGGTTTGGTATGAGTTCCTGGAATCTGTTCATTTGAGTTTGGTTCTGTACATCTATGGAGAAGTCTAAAAGTAATTTGTGTAGTTCCTTCAGATATTAATCAACGGAATCTTTAGAGAGGATTCTCTACAATGTGGCATTGGAGAGTTGTCTCTTAGTTTCCTGTATGTAGCCTGACTTGTTCACGATGACCACAGCTTCCCTTTTATTAGCTTGTCACAGAATAATGTCAGGATTATTACAGAGACTGTGGATGACATCACTTTCTTGACAGCACTATGCTAATGCACAATGGTTTTAAGCACCATGCTCTGTAGAAAAACCCACTAATAGCTACACATACTTGACATGCATCCAGTTTTCAGTCAGAGTACACTACAAATCTATTATTTCCAGGCAACTCCTCCAATTTAACAACATCTGCTCAGACCTACAAGACAGATGCTCAAAACTCTTGGATTTACAGCAGACGTTCTTCAAACTGAAATACCCATTTGAGGAGGTCAAGAAACTAGCCCACTGAAAGAGGTGAAGAAACAATACTCAGGCACCATTTACTACAAGACAAACCATAAGCACAAATGAGAGAATGCTTGCATAGTCACCTACAGTCCTCAGCTGAGACCACTCAAGCACAACATGAACAAGTTACAACCCACACTAGAAAATAACCCAGTCTTTCACAAGCTCTGGGAAGCAGGCCATTCTACAGAGAACTTCTAAATCTTAAATAACTTCTCACAACAGAATACATAACATGGATTACAATATAGATAAAAGACCCTACCACAAACCCAGATACTAACTCTGTCCCCACATCTACTCTGGGAGCAATATTACAAGGGTTGATAATATCATATTAGACATTCATTTACTGTATATACTTGTGTATAAGCCAACCTCATGTTTAAATCAAGGACAGGTTTTAGGGCCAAAATTATGTCTTTTGATATCATCTGTGGTTATGTAGAGAGTCATTCTGTGGAGAGGGGAAAGTGCCAATGCCATCTCAGGAGGCCAGCCACTCTTGGCCACCACTGCCATTTCCCTACCCAAACTTTCAAAAAGGCCAGAAAGAGTGCTGTGGCAGAGAGAAGAGAGGGAGCCAGCGCTTCTTTTAGGTTATCTTGGGATGGACTGAGGTCTTTCCTTTTGCTACTCTATTCAAAGAAAGGCTTGATGTCTTAATTCATTTTTATAAAGCTTAAGTTACAGTGCTCATATTGACCAGTGGATAAGTCAACTCATCTTTTTTGGATTGATATTTTGACTTTCTAGACTTATACATGAGTATAGAGGGTACTTGCCTTTCCTCCAGTGTTATATATGATATCCTATACCAGAAGTGCCCCTGGTTAAATAGGACTCTCTCTATGCAAGAAAATAAATGAACACCAATCTGACATTAGAAATGGCAATACCCAAAAACCAGTTGCAGAACATTAGAACTTTCCTGGGCATATAGTAAAGGATTTACAGGTTGTAGTCCTTGACCAATGAAATTACAAAGGAAGAATAGAAAACGAAACAACTGAATTTGATTATAGTCACAAATTCCAATCCACTAGCAGAGGTATGAAGGAAGAGAATGGCTTAATGCAGTGGTTCTCAACCTTTCTAATACCGTGACCCCTAAATAAAGTTCCTCATGTTGTGGTGACCCCCAACCATATTTTTGTTGCTACTTCATAAAAATAATTTTGCTACTCTTATGAATTCTAATGCAAATATCTAATATGCAGGATGTATTTTCATTGTTACAAATTGAACATTATTAAAGCATAGTGATTAATCACAAAAACAATATGTTTGGGGAAGTATGGACAACGGATGATGGGATTTGCAGTACCTTCAACCAATTCAGCCCTGACTTTCACAGACCACTGAGATCCACCATGAATCACAGACCTGGACCAAAGTTTTCTGTTGGTCATGGACTTCCATGACCAACAGAAAATACTGGAGAAGGTTGGGAGGAATTGACAGTAATTTATGGGAGATGTAGTTCACCTACATCTGGAAAGCACTGTGAACTCAAATGACTATGGATCTGGACCAAACTTTGCATGAATACTCAATATGCCCAGGTTTGAACAATGGTGGAGTTTGGGGGAAATGGATCTTGATATTTGGGAGTCACAGTTGCTGGGATTTATAGTTCTTCTGCCATCAAAGAGCATTCTGAACTCCAACAAAAATGAAGTTATTTTCCTGACGTTTAGGACTCGTTGGGATGTATAGTGCCCAAGCCATCAAAGAGCATTCTGAACTACAACAACAATAGACTTGAGCCAAACTTGGAATACAGAACTCCCATGATCAACAGAAAATACTGGGAAGTCTTGGGGAAAACAGACCTTCGCATTTGGGATGGGAGCTGCTGGGATGTATAGTTCTCCTGCCATCAAAGAGCATTCTGAACTCATGCAACCATGGAATTGACTCAAACTTGACATACAGAACTCTCATGCTCAACAGAAAATACTGGAAAGGCTTAGGGAAAATAGACCTTGGCATTTGGGAGTTTGTGGGATATATAGTTCCCATCTACTTCTGCTTCATTGACTATTCTAAAGCCTTTGACTGTGTGGATCATAATAAATTGTGGCAAGTTCTTGGTGGGATGGGCATACCAAGCCACCTTGTCTCTCTCCTGAGGAATCTGTACAAGGACCAAGTAGCAACAGTAAGAACTGACCACGGAACAACAGACTGGTTCAAGATTGGGAAAGGCGTACGGCAAGGCTGCATACTCTCACCCAACCTTTTTAACTTGTATGCAGAACACATCATGCAATGTGCGGGGCTGGATGAATGCAAAGCTGGGGTGAAAATTGCTGGAAGAAACATTAACAACCTCAGATATGCAGATGACACCACTCTGATGGCCGAAAGCGAGGAGGAGCTGAGGAGCCTTCTAATCAAGGTGAAAGAAGAAAGCGCAAAAGCCGGGTTGCAGCTAAACATAAAAAAACCAAGATTATGGCAACAAGAATGATTGACAACTGGAAAATAGAGGGAGAAAATGTGGAGGCCGTGACAGACTTTGTATTTCTAGGTGCAAAGATTACGGCAGATGCAGACTGTAGCCAGGAAATCAGAAGACGCTTACTTCTTGGGAGGAGAGCAATGTCCAATCTCGATAAAATAGTAAAGAGTAGAGACATCACACTGGCAACAAAGACCCGCCTAGTCAAAGCCATGGTATTCCCTGTAGTAACCTACGGATGTGAGAGCTGGACCTTAGGGAAGGCTGAGCGAAGGAAGATCGATGCTTTTGAGCTGTGGTGTTGGAGGAAAGTTCTGAGAGTGCCTTGGACTGCGAGAAGATCCAACCAGTCCATCCTCCAGGAAATAAAGCCCGACTGCTCACCGGAGGGAAGGATACTAGAGACAAAGTTGAAGTATTTTGGCCAAATCATGAGGAGACAGCAAAGCCTAAAGACAATTATGCTGGGGAAAGTGGAAGGAAAAAGGAAGAGGGGCCGACCAAGGGCAAGATGGATGGATGGCATCCTTGAAGTGACTGGACTGACCTTGAAGGAGCTGGGGGTGGTGACAGCCGACAGGGAGCTCTGGCGTGGGCTGGTCCATGAGGTCACGAAGAGTCGGAGACGACTGAACGAATGAACAACAACCATCAAAAAGCATTCTGAACTCATGCAACCATGGAATTGACTCAAACTTGACATACAGAACTCCCATGATCAACAGAAAATACTGGAGAGGTTTGGGGAAAATAAACCTTGGCATTTGGGAGTTGTGGGGATATATAGTTCCCTCCCATCAAAAAGCATTGTGAACTCATGCAACCATGGAATTGAGCCCTCCGTCCATCCCTCACTCCCTTCTGAGCTTGGAAGGAGGCAAAGGCCCGGCGGTGAAGGCTCCACGGATGGCCAGGCATTGAGGATGGCAGGAAGAAGTTTACTCACCTTGCAGGCCAGAAGAGAGGGTGAGTCTTCTTCCCCCATACCTTTGCCTCCAAAGCTTCTTCTCCTGACTACCCACAGGTCTGTGGGAAGAGGAGGAGGAGCCTACCAGGAGTGCCATTTGGCTGGCTCAGATCAGCAGCCATTTTGGAGGGGGCGGGACCAGCTAAGGGCAGGTTTGCAACCCCCTGAAAATGGCCAAATGACCCCCCTGGGGGTCGCAACCCCCAGGTTGAGAACTACTGGCTTAATGACACACAACATATATTAATTTAAAAAATCCTTACTACAGCTCATATGAAAAAAGCAATCTTATCAAAGAATATTGAACTCAGGGATACTGACTTTTGATAAGTAAAACTGCTGGAACCTGTAGTCAGGAATAAAAGTGTATCTAAAGCAGGTTTGCTGTATACAGAGTTTAATGAACCTGACTTGCCCACAATATTGGGGTGGACTGGCAGAAGTCAGCACTCTTGTGACTATACTAATATGCCCATGGAGCTTTTGGGCAGGGAAAAATCTACAAATTAAGACAGGTATTGACTAAAATACAGTAGATGTAAAGAACAGTCAGTTCCCTATTTAAATAAACCCTCTTTAAAACAAATGATACAAAAATGAAAAACTTACCAAAAAATCAGTGTTTCCAAGAAGGAGATCCCAACATTTGATGCACCAACGACTACAATTCTAGCATTGACAGACACCTTAGGCTCTAAAGACAACTTTCGATTAAAGTGGTTCAGAGCATACTTTAACTGTAAAAGGAATTTAAAAAAATCAAAAAGCTGTCAAGATGTTGAGAATTTTTCAACAGATTTCTAATAGCTTTACAAAAGTACACACAAGCATTGAAATGTTCTCCAGTCACACATAAAACTTCATCTCATGAAGAGATAGAGTATTTTCTACTCCAAAATCAAGCCTGTGTGGAAGAGGTATATGGTGCTGAAGGACATAGCCTTTTGCTATAGAGCCAACATTTCCTCAGATGTACTGGTTTGAGACCTGAGCTAGGGGTTTGGGACACCAGTGTTTGAATTCCCACCAACATATATGGCTCTCAGAAGCATAAAATCATTACAGATGTTTCTTTAACAAGACCTAATGTAGGTCACAAACATTTTAAAAATAAGATACAAGTTAAGAAATTATTCAATTTTTCAAAAAGCATTAAGTGATAGTTCAAGTAAAAAACGAGATTGTTTTAACAATGTAATGAACTATTAAAACATACTACTACTTTTTGTTCTAAATGAGGTTCATGATAGACAAAGGACCCTTAGTAAGTCATAATTATAGTACTATGATTCCACTTTAATGGCCATTGCTGCACCCTATAAATTCCTGGAATTTGCAGGTTATGAAGGCATATATAAAATTCTCAGTCAAAGAGGTCTATCAAACTGCAAACCCCAGAATTTAATGTAATGCAAGCATTCCAGTGAAAATGGAATAATGATGGTGTTAGAATGAAAGGCTCTTAAGACCATATTTTGAGATTATTTCTAGGCCTGACTTTGCTATTGGTGATGTTTTGGATAGCAATATTTTCTTCTAGCTTTGATGAGTGTCACGACACCCTTTAATGATAATAATAATAATAATAATAATAATAATAATAATAATAATAATCAACTTTATAACCCACCACCATCTCCCCAATGGGGACTTGGAGCGGCTTACATGGGGCCAAGCCCGGACAACATGTTACAGCAAACTAAAACCAGAACATAAACAAGCAACATCATCAAAATTGCATAGAGGAAAAAAAAGAAAAAGGTATAAACACAGTAACAAAATAGCATTCCAATAAACACAATCATGATAACAGTGGGCGGGCCACATGTACAGGATAAAATGATTTAAAAAAACTCTAATGAGATAAAAATAGGAGCAGGTTATTTGCAGGGAGCTCATAAAAAAACTTCCCATTTGGAGGGTGTGTACTCCAGTGGCAGACGCGTTGAGGGGAGCAATAGTGTCATGTTGTGCACCTACTCACCAAAGGCGCATTGGCAGAGCCAGGTTTTAAGGTTCTTTTTGAACATTTCTAGTGAAGGGGCTTTCCTGATCTCTCCAGGTAATGAGTTAAAAACCAAATGATCTAAAAATGAAGCAGCTAATATGATTTCAAGATTACAGTTCATTTTAGCACAACGGTACAGTTGTAGTATCTATTTACATAGCTGAAAAACAGGAGATCTGTTTTACCCCTTCCTCATTTACACAACCATACCCTGTCAATGCATTCTGCATCGTCACATTTCATTTGAAATTCTGATTGGTTGGATACATGATGGCCATTTTTCTGCTACTACATCTTTTTTGTAGGCGTTTAGAGGACAACACCATAAATCATCTTCTTACAATATTAGGATTGAGGGTAACACTAATCTTGCACCATTTTCTGTAGCATCTATCAAAATATCTTCCAAGAATCATGCACATACTTTGTTGTGAGAAACACTGGTAACATTACTATTGGATATGCTCTACATTTATACAGAAAGCAGATTATATGAACAAGAGTTAGCTACTGACTCACTTCACAGACTTTTCTAAAAGAAATAATGCACTACAAAATCCAAACGGAGGAAATGAATTCCTGCGGACAGAAATATGAAAAATATACATGGATGCATTGCTTATGAATCCCCCCCCCCCCCCGGCAGATTTATAATCTTCCTTTCCATCATATTTTGCAGTGCAATCATGACATCCAGTGGCCAATGTCAGGTAAAATTAGCCTGAGTTAAGTGGCACCCCTAAAAATATTCTGGATGATGTTGCATAACATTTTTCTATGACTCTTTATCTAGCAATATCTGCACCTTCAAGATTAACCAAATTATTTCGAAATAAGCTTTCTTGGACCATCACCTACTTTTTTTTTGATACATGGAGAGCAGCCTCAATAGTAAACACATCCAAAGTGTGGGTGAGATAGATAAATATGAAATGTAACAGAAATTGAAAATATGCCAACATGGCAATGGAGCTAAAAATGAAGGTTTCAATGGTTGTTGTTAATAACAGTAAAAAGATCGCTGGTGTGTGACAATACATCCATGTGTAGATAAGTAGACAAACAGATGTCTGGTAGAGCGAGGAGTCTTTGTCTAAGCACAATGAAGAGTACATTTACATATACAGTATATGTAAACTGACATGAATGCAAAATTTAGTTAGAAAAAAAATGTCCAACCGCTATCATAAAGTATGAAATTGGTTAAACTAGTGTAAAAATGTAATGCTATCTTTCTAACTTTACCTTATAATAATTTTTTTTTACAAGAATAAAAAATGACAAGGAGTGTATAGTTGCAAGAACTGCACACAGCTTAGAAGCTGTATGCAGTTGCCAGAAAAAGTACAAGGTCTTTTCCAATTTTACCTTGTGTGTATGTTACATTTAGGCTTGAAATGCAGTGTAGGGAATGCATTATCATGAGGTGTCCATGCAATAGTTTAAATCCAGGTTTATTCAGAGTTTTACAAAAAGACCCCCAAAGATCTGGACTTTTTAGTAAGATACACATTTTTGGAGGTGTGGGGCCTGTGGATACTGCTCCTGAGAGTGTCATCTGTAACTTGGCAGCAGTTTCCACAGTGATTCTACCTTTTGCAGGTTCAAGCAGCCCACAGAGGAGGTAGAGCAAAACCAGCCTCTTCTCCCTCGTCCCCTTTCCTGGCTTTAAACGTTTTTTAAAGGTTCCTTACACAGCATAGAGGTTTTTAAGGCCTCTGTTTTGCATCTAAATGACGCATGGAGCTCTGGAAGTGAAATTCCCCCTTTTCTTCTCCAGAACTCCACTGTATTAATTAGACACAAAACTGAGTCCTTAAAATCCTCCAAACTTGATAAGGAGCCTTCTTTCCAAATTTTGCAGCCAGGAAAGGGGGTGAAGGAGGGCCGAGGCTCCCGTCCCCCGGTGTGGGCAGCAAATGTACAGGGAATCAGAGGTTTTAACTCCAATAAGCATTTTCCGCTGTGTAGAAACACCCTTACAGAACCAGTGCCATGTAATAGTTTGGGCACTGGACCATGTTTCCAATGGAAACCTACTGGGTACTGGACAGGTCTCATTCTCTGTCTTTGGGGAAAGCAAATGCAAAACCTCTCAGCACAAATTTTTCCAAGAAAAATTCCATGATATAATGGCCCTAGGGCAAATCTAAGTCAGAAATTATTTGAAGGCAAAAAACATCATATTTGGACCTGTTAGATCGTATCCCTTCCATACTAATTAATACGTTATTTTCCATTGATAATTTAATCAATAATTATGTGCCCATCTGCTCACTTTACACCAATGTAACAATTATTTTGTCACACTGAATTCCGTTACTTTGAGATTCGAATTTTTAGACTAAGAGTGCACCTTTAATACTAACATATAATATTGTACCTAGTTCCCTTTGTGACAATACTTTTTCTTTATATTTGACTTTCAGGAATGTTGAGAGCATCTGGGTGGAAAAAATGGAGGACAGCAAGGGAACCAACCTGCTCAAGTTCCAAATAGCTGACTGTAAGTATTCTGGAGGTAGAATTTGGGGTGAGGTTCCAGCGTGCAAGCAAGGAAAGTGGCAAAAAAAGTGTGTGAATACCTTTAATATCAGGAAAACACAGGGGACAAAATGTAAGCATTCTTACGACGACTGCGGACTTTATCAGATGGGTGGGGGGAAAACAGGGGAAAGCAGAGGGAACCATCTTATCCTATTCTCTACCATCGTGTCCCATCTTCTGGGATGGCTAGCCATCTCAAATCCTTTCCCCATATTTTAACTGTTTTCCCCCAGCTTTCTCAGGTTTGGAGTTGGGTAACACCCGACTCTTGAAGACAGACTTCTGGCTCTGGTTCCCTGTGCTGCAGAAACGGAGCCCCACTGAAAGTGCCCTTACATCATGTGATGGCTTCTCTTTGACTCTTGTGGGGCTTCATTTTTAAAGCACATAGAAACTGAATCTAAGTCCTGCATTTCATAAAACGGGGTGCCAAATGCCATGGGATGGGGACAGCATTGGACATTGGAGGGCTGTTCCTCGCCCCCATTGTGTCTTGTACATGATTTTTGTATTGACCCACCATGCTTCACTCCACCCCAGTCCATTTTAGGATCAGAAAGTATCTTCTTTGAAAAAGCTAGAAAGGTTTCTCCTATGCCTAAAGGATAATTTGCTTCCAAAAATCCATTGCATGCATTACTTGCTTATGTACACACACAATCTTTAAAAAAATGGAGGGGCTGAGGAAACTAAAACAATACTGGATCACATTTTTCCTTTCCTTCCTTGTAGCACAAAATAGTGGGGTCTTTATTTAGAATCACTGTAAAATGTATTAGGCTGGCCAAATAATATTTTTTATTAATAGTACTATGTCAAATATACACAGATAAATCAAAAAGGGCTATGCGGTTATTTGAGTCACAAAAGTCTCCAGTAACATGGGTTCAATTCATTAAATGGCTATGAATATTATCTGAAGAATATGTTCTCTTAACAATATTGTTTCAGGCAAACTACAGAAAAATGCTATTGATTGTGCTATTGACCCTAACCAAGGAATCTTCCAAATGTTTAATGGGAAATAAGCCCCCATGTGTTCAGTGAGATTTACTCCCATATAGGGATGCTCAAGGTGACTGCTAAATGGCTTGTTTTATTTTTAAAAAACACATACAGACAAGATAAACCAAGTTTAGATTACTGTAAGTAGTTGCAGATTAATTTTAAGATGCTGTGGAT